TGGAGTGGCTAAGATCAAAAACTCAGGTGATAGCAGATGCTGATGAGGATGTGGAGAAAGAGGAACACTCCTCCATTGTTGGTGGGACTGCAAACTGGTACAACCACTCTGGAAATCAGTCTGTCGGTTCCTCAGAAAATTGGACCTGAGGATCCAGCTATATTACTCCTGGGCATATACCCAGAAGATGTTCCAATATATAACAAGGACACATGCTCCACTATGTTCATAGCAGCCTTATTTATAATAGCCAGAAGCTGGAAAGAACCCAGATGTCCCTCAACAGAGGAATGGTTACAGAAAATGTAGTACATTTACACAATGTAGTACTACTCAGCTATTAAAAAAAAATGAATTCATGAAATTCTTAGGCAAATGGATGGAATTAGAAAATATCATCCTGAGTGAGGTAACCCAATCACAAAAGAACATACATGGTATGCACTCACTGATCAGTACATATTAGCCCAAAAGCTCGAAATACCCAAGATACAACTCACAGCCCACATGAAGCTCATGAAGAAGGAAGACCAAAGTGTGGGTCCTTTGGTCCTTCTAAGAAAGAGTAACAAAATACCCATGGGAACAAATATGGAGACAAAGTGTGGGACAGAAACTGAAGGAGAGGCCATTCGGAGACCGCTCCACCTGGGTATCCATCCCATGTGCAGTCACCAAAGGTAGATGCTGATGTAGATGCCAGAAAGTGCACACTGACTAAGCCTGATATAGCTGTCTCCTTAGAGGTCTGCCAGAGCCTGACATATACAAAGGAGGATGCTCACAGCTAACCACTGAACTGATCACGGGGTTCCCAATGGAGGAGTTAGACAGAAGACTGAAGGGGTTTGCAGACCCATGGGGAGAGCAACAATACCAACCAACCAGAGCTCCCAGAGTCTAAACCACCAGCCTGGGAGCCCATAGGAAGAGACCCATGGCTCCAGCTGTATATGTAGAGGAAGATGGCCTTATCAGACATAGGTGGGAGAGGAAGTCCTTGGTCCCATGAAGGCTGGATGCCCCAGTGTGCTGGAATTCGAGGGCAGGGAGGTGGGAGTGGGTGGGTGGGTGGGGGCACATCCTCATAGAAGCAGGAGGAGGGGGGATGGGATAGGGGGTTTCTGGGTGGAAGGGGGAATGGGGAAAGGGGATAACATCTGAAATATAAATAAAATATCCAGTAAAAAATTAATTTAAGAAAAAGACACAGTTGGCTACTATTGGTCATTCATTGATGAACTTCGGGGCACAGGGCCAGCCAACCCCTATTTATCCACAGAAATGACTGTGTGGCAGCAACAGCAAGATGACTGTTACACTTACTATGTAAGTTACTTTATTTCTGCAGACTTGAAGCTGTTCATCAATTAAACTAAGATAATAAAGTACTTAAGCTCTTAAATTAAAAGAATAATAAGCAGTAACATTTCAGAGGAGGTAAAGGAGGGGAGGGGAAGGAGAGGGATCCAGAAAGCAAGAGAGCACAGTCTTCAAGAACTACTTTATCCACAACTAGGTTTAGGATCCTTTGGGGAACTTTGCCAAGTTTTTTTTTTTTTTTTTTTTTTTTTAAGAAAAAAAAAAGCCAAAATCTCCTTCTCTTCTCATTCAGTGAACTTTAGAAACCCATTTTCGTCAGTCAACCACATGGAGCACAGCTGTATGCTGGTGCTCAGGATGCTGAGGAAAGGGAGAGAAAGGTCAAGGCCAGCCTGGGCTACATAAGAAGCCTGAGGGAATGAAGAGACTGGTGGTAATTGGATTTATTTGTATTTCTTGTCTTTGCAACAAGTCCTTTACTTCTACTGTCCTAAAACCGAGAGGCACTGTGGAAGGCGTAACGGGCATACGCATGGCATTACAAGGCCACTAAAATATAACAACTGAACAACAACATCAATAAAAAAAAGAACTTAGTCACAGGAGGACAATGAAGATATGTTAAAAGCTATACATGAAAGAATGATAACATCGTCCTTTCGGCCGGCCGGCCGCCTGCGGCAGCCATCTTCCAGTTAACTCGCCAAAATGACGAACACAAAGGGAAAGAGGAGAGGCACTCGCTATATGTTCCCTAGGCCTTTTAGGAGACATGGAGTTGTTCCTTTGGCCACATACATGCGAATCTACAAGAAGGGAGATATTGTAGACATCAAGGGAATGGGTACTGTTCAAAAAGGAATGCCCCATAAGTGTTACCACGGCAAAACCGGAAGAGTCTACAATGTCACCCAGCATGCCGTGGGCATCACTGTAAACAAGCAAGTTAAGGGCAAGATTCTGGCCCAGAGGATCAATGTGCGGATTGAGCACATTAAACACTCGAAGAGCAGAGACAGCTTTCTGAAGCGGGTGAAGGAGAACGATCAGAAGAAAAAGGAAGCCAAAGAGAAGGGCACCTGGGTTCAGCTGAAGCGCCAGCCTGCACCACCCAGAGAAGCACACTTTGTGAGGACTAATGGGAAAGAGCCTGAGCTGCTGGAGCCCATTCCATACGAATTCATGGCCTAGTGTATAAAAGAGAAAAGAGAAATAAAGGACCCAACTGCAGAGTTTTTCCAAAAAAAAAAAAAAAAAAAAAAAAAGAAAAAAGAATGACAACATCTTTTACAGCTGCAGAAAAAAACCAAAAGGCAATCCAAATATCTAGACATGAATTTTTAGTTGACTTAATAATTTAATTTAAATAATTTTTAACTAATTTAAGACCATGATAAAACAGGATAAAATAATTAATAGGTAGGAAAAGGGTATACAAAATTACGTAATACAAGTTGTGCCAATTTTGTCTTCTCAAGAAAATACAGGTATGTGTAGAAATAAGAAGTTATCTCCGCACTAGAACCGTGCATGTGACTTCTGTTCTTGACTGAATCTACTACAGCCTGTTTCTGTCCTCAGGCACTGGAGCTGGCACCATCTGGATTACTATTCAGAGTTCTGTGAGGGTCACGGTTCCTTCCTTCCAATACAAAGATGATGTAGTGACTCTAAGAAAACTCCCTACAGCTAATTTAAAAATCAACCTGTCTGCCAACACCAGAACATCTATAGGTAAGTTTTCAAAGAAAGACTGATAGCCAAGAATGCATTAATTTCAGAACATCAATATTCTCTGCCCAGGCACATGTTTCTTAGAACAGGCAGCTGCCTGGCATGGCAGTTCATGCTTGTGACTCACACACATGAAATGATTATTTAGAGGTCAGCCTGGGCCACAAAGGGAGACAACCAAACAGATAATCAAGTGGGCATCAATAACAAGAGAAACAAGGATGACTCTGATTGCTGGAGAGTAAGAAGAAGAAAAAGAAGGGCAAGAAGAAGAGCACAAGTCCCTGTCTAGGAGGATGACACAACGCCTACCTCAAACAGTCCTACCTGCAAGACTGCAGACTGCCCACCACAGGCTAAGGGGATTAGTCAGTCCTTCAAGAAAAACCTTCTCATATCAGAGAACCATGTGGTCTGTGAGAAATAAATTACTCCAGAATGAACTCATAAAACTGGAACTAATTATAAACCACTAGTCAAGATTTATAAGAATATTAAATATTATGCCAAAAATATATACAGATAGTGTAATTCATATATCTTTATTATACAGTTTATTTTTAGCAAGGGTTTTGTGAAGTTATCACAAGTTAGAATTCTGTAATTCTGTAATTAAAGATCAGGAAAAACCTCACCTATAATGAATAAACACTGCTATTTGTTAGAGAAGAAACCAAAGAATACCACATGCATCTTCCTGAAAATCAGATTGTGTAACAGTACATCATGTGCTACAGTACTAGTACTGCAGAACACACTTCTAGATTGCAAAACAAAATAAAAATAGTTAACATTCTTTCTAATTATATGATATACAAGAGTTAAAGGAAGTTAAAACGAGCTACATCGGTGCTGCTTATCTTTAGTACCAGCACTCAAGAAGCAGAGGCAGGTGATCTCTTTTGAGTTTAAGGCCAGTCTGGTCTACATAGCCAGGGCGACATAGAGAGACCCTCATCTATTCTGAGAGAGAGAGAGAGAGAGAGAGAGAGAGAGGAAGCATCCCTATATTTTTCGTCATATGATTTAGAAAACATGTTTGGTTGTGCTGAAATAGAACACAGCTTCTTTCACAACTAACACAGTAGACACGTAGTTTTTATTTTCCTTTCCTCTTTGTTGTAAATCAAAGGCATAAAGATAAAATGCAAAAACTGTCAAGACTTTGATTTTCAACAAAATGTTTCCAAGATATTATTGGTATGTGCAAGTGCACACACACATGTCAGTATTTTAAGATGAGTGACCTCTAGCATTCAAATAGGTATTTGTCCTTAAAGACTTCTTCTGTCACACAGATCCTGCAGAAACCCACACCAGGTACCTACTCATGGATCCTACTGAGTGTGTGAAAAAATACCATTACAAAATTAAAGCCAAGCTAGAAACAGTTGTAAAAAGCCCAAGGACTGCTGCACGACTGCGTAAAAGCCTGCTTCCCTCACCTTCTTATTTATTATTACCAAACCAAGAAACCATTTTTGAGGCAGTTTTACTTCAATTCCTGTTGTGACAAATTATTCAGTATCTTCAACCATTTTAAATGTTGGAGTAGTTAATTTATTACACCTAGACAACTGTGAAAATATACTCTACATTTCTGTACTTCAAAGCTGTGGCAGCTACAATACCCAAAAAAATGACCCAGTCCTGCAATACCACTCCCTTTCAAAGACACACTCCAAAAAACTACTTCTTTGAATCTTTCCTTTAAAACTGGCATCTGAAACATAAGTACGCAAAAGAAAGCCCGAATTTATACATGTTCTTATTGAAAGTAACAATTTATATTAGTCATTTCTAGAAGGCAGCACACTTTCTACGTTGCAACACTGTCTCCAGCCCTGCATTTCTGCTGCAGTCATGAATAACACAGTGCTCTGAAGCACTGAGCATCACAAGGCATGAAGCATGCACAGTGACTGGAAATGCATTTGCATTACCTCCAACCTTAGGGCCACCTGCTGAACCAGGCTTTCTTGCACTGTTGACAGGATTTCCAGGTGTTTTAGGTGCAGGAACCTTGAAGGCTGAAGCAGCTGATGATGGCCTGTTTCCATCCACTGATTCCTCATCATCAAAGCTTTTATCTGCACAAAGCATAAGAAAATAAATACTTAAGGAAGCTAAGCTTTTTCCATTAAGACTCAAAATAAATAAAGCTATGGATAAAAATCATTATTTAGGTAAGATACATAATAAAAAATAAAGATTCTTTAAATAAATATATACTGGTTAACACTATATAAAATAACCTCTGTGATTTCAAATAAAAATACCATATTGTCACATTTCCTACTCATACATACAGAGTCAAACATTAAGGCAAGCATATTAACCTGAGAGAAGTCAAAGCATCTCTCTTTTTTGCTGCTCATATAAGCATTTCTGCCAGCCCCTCCCATAGTCAATCTTCTAGCACGCCCTGCCTTATTTCTATACCCAGATTCTGCAACTTACAATCACAGATCCGTTTGCAAATCAGCCGCCTCATTCCTCCGAATTTCCCTCACCCTAGAATAGCTCCTAATAGTTCACATGGCCAAATACAGTAAATTTGATACTAATCAAAGATTCTATCAAAAATAGATAGAAACAACCACAGAACCACCACTGAGGTTTGTGCCGGCATTTTTCTTTCTCTTCCCTGCCCTAGGTGCTGCAACAGCCAATCAGCTGCAAGGTGACATCATCTTATGGCAGCTACTGCCTGATGAAAGGTAAAAATTCTCCATGCATCTAAAAATCCTCTATGCACTTACAATGTATGCTCTATGAAAAATGTAAAAAGAGTTTCATATTAAAGGTTTATAAATCTAGATGTGTTTTTTTCTTACTACATATGAAAATTCATATAAATAGGACATTAGGTTTTAGGCAATAATTACTGTGCTGGGTGCTACTGCACCAAGAAAGCACAGGAACAGCAGGGCTCACTGCTGTACATAATTAACTCTGTATGTAACCTCACAATGTGCTGCCTATGGTAGCAACAGAAATGAAACCAAACAGTCTCTTCTCTTAAGTGACTCCGAGGCTCCATCTGGAATATGCGCGGTCACACTGCCATTCTCTCCTCACATACAAGCCCACCAGCCTCCAGTCAACTCCTCCCTCCCCCACTCACAAGATAGATGCCATGCACTCTGCTGGCAGGCGGTTTTCTCTAGGACCCTGCACAAAACAGCCATGACAAACAAGATGGGTGAGGCAGAGAAGCAGCTTTACCACAGATTTCAGATCAATATGTAAGAATTTTCTTCCTGTCCCTTCTGCTCCCACTATACAAATGCCCACACATCCTGAATACATGAAGACTCACCACCAGTACAACAATTAGACAGGGACAAAGACCCCAACAAATTGTAAGACTGTTATTGAGAGAGAGAGAAAAAAGATCTAAATCACATTCTATTTCAGCAAATGTTTTGATAAAGTCACTTCTACCCTCCACGCCCCACCCTCAAATTCTTCTAGCTTAAATACAACGTTCTTTTACCATAACACAGTTAAGACAGCAGTAGAGAGACGTTAATGAGCTTAAAACTTGTGCTATATATATATCATTCTGCTAAGAATATCAAAACAATTCAAAATAAACTTTTTTGGTTCAGTATCTCACACACACACACACACACACACACACACACACACACGGCAGAACAGACACAAAAATCTACAGAAAGCCAGGCACTGAAAGAGGAGGCAGAAGTTCCCATGGAAACCGTGTGCTCTTCCTATACACACAAGAACTGAAAAGTCTAAGTGTCCTTACCATTTAAAAAATTAACTCTTAACATTCTCAAGCTACAGGATTTAAAAAAATATATAACAAAGCTAAGCATACAAATCCCAAGAAACAAATAATAAGTTTTCACAAGACAAATGTTATTAGTATAAGCAGCACCCAGCTATAAAGACTGCCTTTGCCTTGCCTCTTCTAAGCACTCTAAAATCTCCTAACTAAACCATCAGTTCTGAATCCCCACACGACAATAAAGAATTACAGTATCTACTGTGGCATCTAGAAAGATAATACTGGAAGGTTCACTCTGTTCCTTATGCTTCTCTGGTATGACCATATCACGGCTTACTGATGCTCATTCATCCTGCTGCGCACAGACATTTTGTTTGCTGAGAGTTTGGAGTTAAAAAGCTGAGCTCTTAAGAGTAAGTTAAAGCGGGCTGGTGAGATGGCTCAGTGGTTAAGAGCACTGACTGCTCTCCTAGAGGTCATGAGTTCAAATCCCAGCAACCACATGGTGGCTCACAACCATCTGCAATGAGATCTGATGCCCTCATATGGGTGTCTGAAGACAGCTACAGTGTACTTACATATAATAAATAAATAGAACAATCTTTTAAAAAAAAGAGTAAGTTAAAGGCTTTACAGATTTCAACATTATTGGCAAGTAGTACACAAACCACAGGTCAAACATCTCTAAAAAATCTAAAATAGGAACTGTTAGAAAACTCAGTGCTTTTTCGTAACATAATGCTAAGTTCCAGTAAGAGAGTATTTTGAATTGGGGGATTAGGAATGTTCAGCTAAATATAAATAGACTCATACAAATACTCTAAACACAGAAAAAACACAAAAATCTGAAAACACTCCTGGTCCCAAGCATTTCAGATAAGGGATGTTTGACATGTAACTTATTTGAGACCACAGGAAATCAAAGATGCATTTAGTAATATAATATCTACGGTAGTATTCCTCAAAAGATGGTATTCAGATAAAAGCTCAGCATCGCCTGACATCTGTTAGAGATGCACTTACACTTGTTTATTTTATGTATTTGTACCCATGTGCCATAGCATTCATATGGAGGCCATACTGGTCCAAAGGACTGAACTCAGGACCTTGGGCTTGGTAGCACCTTCACCTGCTGAGCCATCTTGACAGACGCCTAAATTCAAATTGTTGGGTATGAACCCATTGTACTGCATCAGAAATTGTGAGGATGCAGCCTGATACCCCACCTACTAATATCAACTCCTAACAATCACATGCGAGCCACTCTTCTATAGAGAGGTTGGTCGATTTCTGTTTCTAATAAAAAGAGCCACATGGCAAATACAGGCTTTAAAATCTATACTCAAATGTTCATTTGTGCAATTGCTCAATTATGATAACAACAAAGCCACACACAAACTGTAAAGAAGTTGGTGTGGTTTTTGTTTCAGTTTTACATATAAAAACAAGAGGATAGCCAGGACTTGCCATAAGTAACAATTTGTCAATTCCTGGTCTGCTCTAGGGTAAAAGCTAAAAGAAGAGTAAATGTATACATGAGAGAGAGAGAGAGAGAGAGAGAGAGAGAGAGAGAGAGAAAGAGAGAGAGAGAGAGAGAGACACAGGGGGAGAGAGAGGCGGGGGGAGAGAGATTAGTTATAGAAGCATTAGATCGAATAAAGTATGGAAGGATTTAGAAATTTACAAACAGATATAATAGGAAATAATTTATTTTTTGTGCTAAATATGTGAATTCAACTTCCTGTATACTGAAGTACCAAGAATCATTTTTGCATTTTAAAATAATCCAACATGCATCATTCTTTGAAGCAGTAAACTTCAATGTGGAACTTTTTTTCATTCCATTGTCCATTAACATGAGATCAATTAGGTACAAATAGTCACTGAAACACATCTGTCTCACTGACCCACTTAGAAAAAGTGAATTCTTAAAAATAATTTCTTTTAGGGGGAGGGTATAACTTGACGTTTTTCTTGTGCTTAAACTATATCAATAAAGAGACTAGAAATATGGCTTAGCAGTTAAGTGCACAGACTGATCTTCCTGAGGACCAAGGTTCAGTTCCCAGCATTCACACGAAGGCTTACAGCTAGCTGTCTGTAACTCCAGTTCCTGGCGGATCTGATGCCCTCTTCGGGCATCGTCAGGCACTAAGCACATGTGATGCCCAGACACACATGCAGGCAAAACACACATACACATAAAATAAAAATAAGTCTTAAAAACAAAATAAAAACCACATTAGAGAGCTGGACAGATGGCCCTTTAAGTGTTTACTGCTCTTACACAGGACCCAAGTTCAGTTCCCAGTCTATCCCCCTCATTCCCAACATGTCCTGGGAAATAATCCAGAGGCAAACAACTGCACTCACTGGATAAGATTACTGGTTTTGAAAAATCTTAATAGCAAACAATGTTGATGACAAGAAAACACAGACTAGAATGGGCACATCAAACCTACTCTATTGTGTGGTCAAACCCATGTGACACATAGGCAGAACTCAGCACACCAAACCACAACTCATAGGTTAAGGGGAACCACAAGTCAACGCTTATTGTCCTATTGCCTATTTTTTTTCCCAAACTTCTTTTCAAAAGAGAACCAACCACCCGGGGACAAGGCTCCGTGAGTCAAGTGCATGTTATGCAAGTGTAGGACCTGAATTCTAATCCCTAGTACCCACAGAAAACTGGGTGAAGTAGCATATACATCTATCAGCCCAGTGCTCCTATGGGAGCTGGCCTGGCCTATGAGGCAGGCAAAGATGAAGAGATCCTGTTCCAAACAATGTGGAAGAAAAGGACTGAAGCTCAAGGTTGTTTTCTGCTTCCACTCCCACATGGGCTCATTAGCATGTGCTCACACACCCCTACACCATCACCGCTATCACCATCATTACACATAAGCAAATGATAGCTAAATGAACAAAAGTGGGGGAGGGCTAAGTAAGGGGGGGAGAGGGAAAAGGACAGAAAGAGACAGGAAAGTGAACCAAATCAAATGCTTCTATGGGCTGTAAGAGCAAATGCAAAGTTCTAGGAGCAGCCCAAAGATATTAGAGGACACAAACGAACATCTGAGCAGGATGAGTAGCTATCTATCTGTATGATGGAAAAAGGGACAAGATGGAGAATAGGAGAAATCAACAGAGATGGAGGAAAGGTGACAGGGAAGAGAAGGAAATACACATCACAGCAAGAGCAAATATAAACAAATCATAGGAACGGGTGTACTTAAAATGCTGCATTTTTATAGGAGACAGAAAAACATGTTTGCCTACAAGGAAAACCTGAAAAGAACTGTGAGGAGAAAACTACTTAAAAAGATACCT